GTGTATTCCCTCCCTCTTGATAAAGCATATTTCAGAACCATGACCAGCCTTCCCACGGCATTTCTTAACTCCACACTTTGACCTGGATAGAAATACGTGTAAGGCGAGGAAAGACACGGATCTTCACCTTGGACTCATGGTGTCTTAAATAAAGGAGGCTTTGTCAACAAAAACACTTCAAAGCGTGTCTTTGGCACCCTGGAAGCTTCATGCTCCCCACCAGGGTGCATTGTAAGGTCCTGGGTGTGCGAGAGGCATGCCTTTATGTGCAAAGAAAGTCCATATGTGCGAGTTATTGAAGTTCTAGAAAGCGATGCCCTTAGAACAGTCTACCACTCTCCTCATGGCACGTCTCCATGCAGGCTTCATTCCTCAGCGTGTGACTCCACTCGTTTGAGGACTCCTGGACCAATGACCTCCATGACCCTTGAACTCTAAGATTCTATGATGTTATGATTAGTGAGGCTTTCTCATTGTAGAAAAAAAAACAATCATTGTAACTACTACCGCCATACTCAAGCACATGCAATCAACCTTAGTTCCTTTTTTTTTAACAAATGAAAAAGGGCCACCTGTTAAATCAGCTGTGGGAATAATTGGATAAGGAGATACACGTATTGACAACAGTGGGCAGGCATATTTCAGTGAGAAAGATTTAACCTCTCCAGATCAGTAGCTGGAGGAACCAACAAAGCAAAACCTGACACTCTACACGTCGGAACTTGATTGCTGTTTTCCACGCTTGATGTTTTGGGGGGAAATTCTGTGGTTCGCACATTCATGCTCACCAGCTCTCAGCACAGGTATGCCACCAAAGCCGCTAAAAACCGCTATGGCGGCAACAGACACTATCAACCCCACAGAGTTGATGAAATCACATTGGCTTTAGATAATAACAATAGAGTTGTTAATAGCAGTAAAGTATGATAATAGCCTTAGAAATATATGAACTTGATGAATGTGTCCAATACGAACCATTTCCATATTTAATTATGATTTGTGTACTAACAGATCTTAGTGGGGAAAAAGAACTAATACTCCAGTATTTTAAAAATATTTTCATGTGGAAGTCAACCACAAGACAGAACTTAATAGGAGTCTCTTACAAGTTATAGCACAAAGAATATGATGTTACGGTATTCATGGTTGTTTTCATTTCACAAGACTGGTCATTTCTTCACAATAAAAACAGGTATAACTCTGTCCTAAAGTTAAGGCTAAGCAGATGTTTCCGTTTGGTTTAATGGGTGAATATGTCTGATTTCATGTGAAATAGACAAATGTAAAGCTTCGTAGTTTAAAATAACACTTTTGTTGTAATAAAAAGCAAGGATTATTCTTATGACTATATAGAACACACATAGCTCTGGCATCATGCAAACCTTGACCTGACTCTTGACTCTACCACGCACTTGGGCCACATAATTTATTTCTCTGAGCCTTAGTTTGCTCAGCTCAAAATAACATCAACCTCATAGCGTTTTTTGAAATTTCAGACAGATAATAGAGGCGAAACCAGCGGGCTTGTTGTAGGTTCTTAGTACAGGTTACTTTGTCTTCTCTTGTCCCTCCTCCACCATTTCTGTAGAAGCTGATTTATGACAAGTGTAGGTGCCTGTGCAGAAGCATGTAAAGCGAAAAGCAGGCTCCAAAAGTTCATATTTTCTATGAACAGAGGAAGTTATCTGGTTAGATAGGAAGCGGCCATCTCTGGTCTGTGTGGTAGAATTATATTCTCTATCTTTTTATTTAATTATACGTTCTGATTGAGCTAGCATGAATATGTATAACTATTGTAAGAGAAATCTTTAAAATTTTAGTGCGTGATGCATAATGTATAATCTTTGAGTTGATACATGAAAAATTACGTTTCCTATAAGCCAATTTTTACTCCTGTTCCCTAGAGCATTTTATATTACGAAGTTAGTTCAAGATAAACAGAGCCTGATAGCTAAGGAGTTGTTCACTGCCAGGATTATGGACATCGAGGGGAAAAAGAGAGGAGGTGACGGTGTAAATAATGTATTTTTATTAAACTTTCGTGGACAACCCCTTCCCCCTGCCTCTACCTGGTCATCGGCAGCTGCATCCTAACTGGCTCTCCACTCCCAGGCTCCCCCACTGCTGCCTTCAATGTCCTCGGAGCAGTGACTTCGTTTCACCTTTAGCCTGCTCACACCTTTAACAAGTCTCTTTTCACTCTAGCTTTCTTTCGCAGCTGGTGATCCAGGGTACAGTAGTCCAGGCAGAAAACAATCCCAATGTTTCCTAGTAATCACCTCTCCCTCGAACTTCACATGCATCTGTCTGTGTGAATGTGTTGTGAGTCACGTTGGATCCTAATGGCCATAAACTAGAGATCACCATGCTCATGGGTGATCGCAAGGCATGTTCCTTAGTAATACTGAATTCTGTTTCTCCTGATTACACACATGCACACATGTGCGTGCGCGCACACACACACACACACACATGCATACACACAACAGAGGAACAAGCAAGTGCTTTTGCAGCATTGAAATACAATGTACTCGTATTAATTCTACTTGAAGTATCTCTTTTTAAAACATGCCATACATTATATGCATCTCTATATTTAAAGCCAAGCAACCAGAACGACCGGTTGCTTTGACACGGACTGCAGCCCAGATTGGCCCCCCCAACCGCAGTCGGGAGCGGGGCCAGCCAGCTGACCTCCCGCAGCCCCTCCCCCCGCCGGCCAGGCCCAGATCAGTTCCAATCAGGGTGGGCCGGCTGGACCCCACCCATGAATTCGTGCACCAGGCCTCTAGTAGTAGTATAATGCTAGTAGATATATGCATCTGCAGGAAAAAGGGTAAATAACACTATGGATAGAGATGAAAATACAAGATACAAAAAAGTCACTGGCATGAAGAATAAAGACCCAGTTCTGTAACCTGGCATTCCAGGCCCTCACCAGCTGCTGCCCTTCTCCTTCCAGCCTTCCTTCCCATTCCTCCCGTGACAACCCATCACTGTCTCCCACTCATTCAGGACCTACCGCAGGCCCAGCGCTTGGTGTAATATAATCCTCACAGTGGACCTGCAATTGCCTCACTGTCCCCATTTTACAGACGAGGCTTCGTATCTGCCTTCAGGTCACACAGCTGGTTAGTGAGAGAGCAAGGACTCAAACCCAGGTTTGTCTGACTCCAAAACCAGTTTTCCTAACTGTTGTAGCCACACAGATCTCTGTCTTCAGTAGCAGCCTGACCTGTGCCATGTGACTAGTCATGATGCTCACTGCTTCCCAGAAACCTTGTCCTACATGACCTTCAAAGTTGACCTAGAACTTAACTCATCTGTGCCATCTCTCAGCCTCCAGCCCACAGTGCTGTCACCTCCTCTGGCCCTTAATCACATGCTCCTTTAGATTGTCATCTATTTGTCCGTTTGTGGGTGTTGTCTCCCCAACCAGGCAACCAGGCGCTTAATGGCAGGAGCCCTGGAAGGCCGCGTGGGCTATCTCTGAGATGCCTCTCTTTGGACTATATTCCCTCCTGTCACCTGCAGTTCTGTGTTCCTCAGGACCTCAGCGTTACAGTAATACTCTTCACAAACAGTAAGAGGACTCTCCAGTGTCATTAAACTGAGATCACTCAGAACCCTCTGATTTGACACTAAGGCCTCTAAATGTTAAATGAACCATTTCTCTGGAGGCCCTTATGTAACAGGTATTGTCTAATATGATGTAATATCTGAAATAACCATCAGATTAATGTTTTAAAAGATAAACTTAGTAGTAAGTCAATTTTGTGACTTTAAAAGGACTGAATTGCCCGGCTGGTGCAGCTCAGTGGTCGAGCATCGACCCAGGAACCAAAAGGTCACCCACCAGTTTGATTCCCGGTCAGGGCACATGCCTGGGTTGCGGGCTCGATTCCCAGTGGGGGGGCATGCAGGAAGCAGCCAATCAATAATGTTCCTCTCTCTCATCAATGTTTCCATCTCTCTATCCCTCTCCCTTCCTCTCTCTAAAAATCAATAAAAACATATTTTAAAAAGTAAAAGGACTGAATCAACAGAGGATCATCTGCCCAGTTTCATTCTGTTCCTTAGCCTTCACAGCCCCTTTCTGAATGAGAGACGGTGTGGTTTTATTTCCGTTTAAGGAAAATCACAAAACCGCCTCTATCAGCAATCCCCTGAGAATAACAGAGAAAGAACCTCAGCGAGGAGGGGAGGGGGACACCCTATGTAAAAGAGGACTCGGATCTGTCTCCGAAAACCCGGCTTGCAGAGGAGGGGAGATTCCGACAGCCGAGTCTTTGTTCCTACAGGTTGAAGGTCACTGGGAGGGATAATCAAGTGCACCTGCTAAGGCTGAACGTGAATTTGAGGTGAGGGTCAAAAGAAAGAGGGAAAGCTGTAGCAGCTTACGTCAGAAACTTTGTAAGAATTCAAACCTACGCCTCCTTCCCTTCCCCTCCCCATGGTCTTCCCACACGCCCCCCCCCCTTTGTCTGTTTGCCTTCCAGCATCTGATTTCTCACTCAATCTAATAAATAGTTGAGAGGGAACTACTTGAATCAGTGCCATTGATTGGTTCTGTTGTTTGCTTAAGGATTGATTTGAAAATCTCCATAATCCATTCCGCCTTAATTTACACTTCAGTATGTTTAGAATGACTGATCACTACCAGGCTTAATCTCTCCCAAGAAATAGCAAGACATATCATTTGCAAGATAATTATGTTTGAAGTGATCAAGAAACACTGTAGGTGTGGAAACAGTTTCCGTAATAGGCATACCTTGGGGGAAGTCAGAGGATTTTGTCTTAAGTACCTTCAAGAATGTGTTGGTTGAACTCACAGCATCTAACCAAAAAGCTTTTAAAGTGAACGCTATATGAGAGTATTTCATTATGCGAGGACGATGAACTGTCGGAGCGTCGCGCGCAGAGAACTTTTTGGAAGGCAGGCTGTTTGTGTTCTGTTGCCGCTTTAATTTTTTGTCCTTCGCTGGATCTCTTCCATTCAGGAAAATTGGGCGGATTCACGCAAGAAAATAACACCATAGATTCCGGAGAACTTGATATCGGCCGAAGAGCGATTCAAGAGGTGCCTCCCGGTGTCTTCTGGAGATCACAGCTCTTTATCGATCAGCCACAGTTTCTGAAATTCAATATCTCTCTTCAGAAGGATGCATTGATTGGAGTATACGGCCGAAAAGGCTTGCCACCTTCCCATACTCAGGTAAAAGTAGGCTTCGTTGTCAATAAGATGAAACTGCCCGTGTGCATTTTTAAAGTTATTCTGTTTCTTCACTTGGGCTGTTTCACTGTTTGACCACTTTTGTATTGATCCTTTACAGTGAGAAGAATTTCGGATGTAGGGTACACGTGTCTTGAGGTTTTTGAATTAGTAGGAAGAACACCATTTTTCTCCCTGGCTTGCGTTAACCGTTATTGATTGATTAAAAAGTACCACAATTTGTGAGCAACTTAATGAATATTGAACATCAGCTCAGCACCTAGTAAAACATCAGGGATTTTTCAAGTGTTTTACAAAGATTCTATGGTCATTTGGGGTGATCTTATTCCTTTCATGTAATAGATACATTACATTTTTATTTCAAACATGTGTTGATTCTATTGAAAATATATTACTTTTTTTTTACTTTATGCCAGATTTGCTCTTAGTAAAGAAATTATTGGGACATAAACATCAATACCATGATAGGAATTTCATCAACTCAAGCCATGATTTCTCATCGACACATGATGAACAATGAAATAAAGAGGCAAACAAGCTTCATAGATGACCAAGGATGATCACATGTTTGAGTGTGATACTCAAAACCATTCAAACATTCGTATATCATAGACTCAAAGAACCTTGAAGTCAATTTGCTTGCATGAAGATCCCTTCACAATAATGGTCACAGATAGGCACTATCAGTAATTACACAGGCTTGATCATAATCTAATATTGGGTCCGGAGAATGAAACTCCCCTGTTGTTGGGGGGAGCGAGGTGGAGGTTCTTGGGGTGCCGCTGAAACAAGCATTTTCAGAAGCCTCACGGGAGGATGGGATGTGGAAGATTGTATTGGCGTGGAGTTGCATTTCTCGTGTCCAAAGTCCCTGTTCCTTAAGTCAGGCCTGGAAAGGTTGCAGCTGGGGTTCCAGCAGAGCCAGACACAGGCCAGGGGCCAGAGCTTCCGTTCCATGTTGCAGCCGGTGCGGTTCAGCATCCGGGCCAGAGTAAAGCCCATTAGTCCGGGTGTGGAGCCCCCCATGGCCGTGTGCCACGTGGGCACAAGGGAGAGCTCCCCTGCCACAGGAGTCCCAAGAGGGAGAAGAGAGGGAAATTCAGGAGTTTTAATATTCAGGGTTCAGGAGCTTGCATTGGCCATGCCCATCCTGGCCAATTACCTGTTCCCAGGGGTGATTGACAGATAAGCACTTTCCCACGTCACTCAGACCTTACTGGGCAAGTGTCTGTCTGGTCTTCCTTTCCCTCCGTGGCTGTTAAATAATAACCCGGTCATTACAACAGCATTAATGGTCTGTAAGTGGGAAACTGCGGTTTAAAGGAGGTCCCACTATGTCTAAGCGAAATTATTTAAATTACCATAACTAGGAGCTCAGACCCTTCCCAAGATCAACTGTTCTGTTAGTAAATACAGGAATTCCCAAAATGTAATAGATGGTTAATGAAAATTGACAGTTGGATGAACTTAAAGTTATGCTTGATAATCAGTTTTTCACCCATGGAATTTCATGCTGCGTTTAATTGGATTTATGAAATGAAGACTGGAAGATTTTCATATACTCTTTATATTATGTAACTTTGTGAGAAAGGCTTTTTCTATAACAGAAATTTAAAATAGGAAATTATAAAGAAAAGTTGATCATACACTATTAAAGATTACATATTTTTTAAAAGGTGACCAACAATATTTGAACATACTTTCTCTGATGTCATTATGGCTCAGGGAAGATGTCATATACATACATAAATACATAGTTGTAAAATTCTTGAATATCATGCTTTGGTGTATTCATTTTTCTGATTTAACATTTTTCCAACTCTAGATGATTAAAGTAAATGTCTTTGATCCTTAGACATAAAAGTCTTCCTATTGTATATTAGTATTCAATTTTAAATTTTAAACTACATTTGACTCCCCTTAGAGGCGACACTAACGAGGATGTAATAACCAGGTTTTCTCAAATGGAAGGGGCCTCTGTAACTTCACTTGTAACAGATAGATTGAATGTATAGCAATACTAGAGGCCTGATGCATGAAATTCGTACAAGGAGCTCAGCCCTCGCAGCCTCGGCGGCTGCCTCGGCCCTCATAGTCCCGGCTTCATTCAGAAGGTTGTCTAGACCATTGTTCAGCTGTTCGGCTGGACAGTCTAATTAGCATATTCGCTTTTATTATAGATTTCAGTGAGATAGAAAAAAAATAACATTTTAATCATTGGAACCACATACATGACCAAGTTATTTTATAACTCAAAACACATACCTATAAGTTCATCAAGGACACAACAGTGAGCATGTAACCTATAAATTCCAAAAATAATTTCTAAAAATGATTTTCTACATGTCATGCCTTTAAAAGGTTTATTCAAAGATTTAGGGTGGACTCTTTGCAAGTGACATGTACCTGTAAGACTAGAGAAGTAAAAGGTGCAGTTTCAGGTTTTCTCATCATTCTTCTGGTGTTTAAACATAATATGCAAATGTCTACTTTCTCTCCTACCACATGCATGGGTTTAAGTAGGTTACACGTTTTCTTAAGCCCCACAGTTATTAGAGTTCCTTTCTCTGGTTTATTCAAGATCAGCAGAGCCAACATCTATTTCTGACTTCGGTGTTAATCATGAAATATGCTATAAAGCAGCCCAAATTGAACATTTCTCTGTTTCTGGGGAACATGAAAAAAATCAACCTGAAGTAATGAAAAGTGGCCATTCAGGAGAGTTGCTTGAGTGTTGAAAGTCTTTGTGGTCCTTTAGGAAACTGTCCGTTTGATTGCTGCCGAGGAATCCATGGGCTTCCTTCTCCCTGAAGTCCAGTTCACGCTCCTGGCGGTCGGAGCCCAAGGGGGCAATTTAATGCCCTACAATTGGTAGTGCCCTGTCTCATTTAAGTGCGTTTGCATGAAGGCTGGTGTAGAATGGGTGCTGGAGACCTGGGTTCCAAGCACACACCTCCACCCACCTTTTGACCTTGTGGCCTGGAACAAATCACTTACCGTCTCTGCACCTTGGGATCTCCCTGTGAAATGAAAGGAGCAGGTCGGATGATCGTAAAATCTTCTCTAGTCCAGAGAGCTGCAGCGAGACTAGGCCGCCGCCACACGTGGCTGATTTGAGAACACAGTCAAGTAGTCAGAGATTCTGAGTTCTCTGCATTATAATAACCGAATTGAGTTAAGCCCGTGGACAGCCTGTTCAAACAATGAGCCACCAAGATACCTTTCTCAGGTATAAGCGCCGTCTTCATAATCGCTCCCTGAAGTGGTGGAACTGAATCTTGTCCTAAAAGTAGCATAAGACCTTAAGAGTCACCTGCACACAAAATCCTTGTCTCCATGTCTTGAACAGGTACACACGCAAACCTCAGTCTCTCAAGGTGGCCCATAAGTGATTGCTTTGCGGCCTCAGAACAAAGGTTATTAAATATTTCTATTCCATACAATGTATTTACTTTCTGTAGAGATGGTTTTAGCACTGAGTAGGGAATTTGTCTTCGGGTAGTTGAATAACCCCCTGAAATGCGTGAACTGTGCCGACGGAAGGGCCTGGAACTGAGCAGATACTCAACACCTGTGAGCTACTCCCACCACCACCACCCTCACACCTGGCACTCCAGCCTCACCCTGCTGTTCATAGTGTGATGCCCACAGTGGTATTTTCTGTGATAAAGGTGATCATTCTGAGTAAGGGTTTGAGTTAAAAGCCAGAATATTCTCCCTTTCGGTTTTTCATCTACTGTGCTTAATGTCAGTGGACAAGATGTTTCTATGAAATGGGGCCAGGACGAGATAGCTGTTTCTGCCTGTGCCAGGCTGATCAGATATTTCAACCTGAGGAGGAATGAATGGCTTACTTGAGCTAGAAGCACCTTTGAAATGTGCCGAATTTTCCTCTGATAATTTTGGAATACAATTCTGGTGAATTTTTTGCAGGTCAAATAGCCACACTAGTCATTATGTTAATCTTTGTTAAGATATAAATGCACACAAAAATTTTTTTTGAATGTTAATTAAGTTATAGCTTTTTAATATTTCTCACAGTTAAACTGTACAGTCTTACGACACAGAAAGATGCTTTTGTATTAAAGTAAAATCTTTACTGAGTCAGAAACTGAATTAGATATTCTAAATTCTGTTCAGTAGTGACAGGAGGGTCTGTGATCAGCACAGTGTTTAACTGTGACTCTCAGAATCCCAGCAACTGATTTTATTCCTGTTTGATTGCATTAAGGGATTCATGTAATAACCATTTTTTCAAAATAGAACACTGATGAAATTCCATTTAAGGAGTAGATCTGAAAGTGGAATTTTAATAGCTCACAGGCACAGTACTGTAGCCTTAATGATTGGTATAGATAGTCCTGCAGTGTACTTACACAGAAGCACGTGCCTCCGGAATAAAATGAAAGTAGGTAGGAGGTTCTAGAAACTCAATCCCTCTACTTTTAAGAAAATCCCTCTGCTTTTAAGACACTTATCTAGCAAGTTTATTAAAACCATGTTGGAAAGTCCTTGTGAGGCCTTCCAAAGTCACGGCGTTATCTCGGGTTACACAATGTTACCCCCCTGCTACCACTCACACCCCCTACTTCTCATTATCTTTAAGTTCTCCAGTTAAATCCCAGCTACCCAATGTCCATGATGAATCTTGCTAACACAGAAGTTAAGTGTAATGCTGAGTGACATAATCATAGCATAGTTGGGCCTGCTTCTGTTATGGCTGTCCCTTCAGAAGCCCCTCATTGTGTATTTTTGTTTTACTTTTTATTTTGTTAATCCTCACCGGAGGATATTTTTTTCATTGTTTTTTAGAGATGGTAGAAGGGAGGAAGAGAGAGAGAGAGAGAGAAACATCAATGTGAGAGACATCTATTGGTTGCCTCCCACATGCACCCCAACCAGGGCAGGAAATCGAACCTGCAACCCAGGTACATGCCCTTGACCAGGAATCAAATCTGTGACCCTTCAGTGTACTCTAACCACTGAGAAACACCAGCCAGGGCAATTTTTTTAAATTTTTTATTAAGATGTAAAGGCATATTGTTACATGTTTTTGATCGAACCATAGCCATAACCACCGTCAGCGCCCATGCGTGTGTCCGTGATGCTTGGGTGGTTGTGTCGGGTCACCGAGATGGGTGGCGTGTGGGGGAGGACAAGTTGAAGCTCTGAGAAAGTGCCCTTGAGTTCACGGCCCGGCTCAACCACTTTGTGTCCAACATGTGCCCTGCCCACGCTCCTGAAGTCTCCCTCTCCTTCCTCTGTGGGGTGTATCATTCATGCCTTCCCAGGAGGGCTGCCGGCATGGGGAGAGGGGGGAGTTACAGAGGAAGTGTTCCAGAGTGCTTGTCACTCTGTGAGTGTGAGCTAGGACACCTTGAGGTTGTCGCGTGGTCTAAGGGAAATGTGGCCATTGGGTGTGGCATGTGGTAGATTTGTGTTCCTAGCCCCAAACTGCCCACAGCGTCAACATGTGTATCAGCCAGATGAATCACATAAATGTGGGAGCCCTGGGGCCCCATCAGGAAAAACATGCACAGGCCGGTGTGACACGGCAGTTGAGTGTCAACCCAGGAAGCAAGAGGTCCTTTGGTTCAATTTCCAGTCGGGGCACATGCCAGGGTTTTGGCTTGATCCCCAGTGGGGGGCGTGCAGGAGGCAGCTGATCGCTGCTTCTCTCTCATGGATGCTTCTATCCCTCTATCCCTCTTCCTTCCTCTCTCTCTAAAATCATAAAAACATATTTTTTAAAGTGTGCAGTGTAAAGGCAACTCGTGCACATAGTAGGTAGTTTTCCCGTCTCTGTGGAGCTCTTCATGGAGCACCTGCCCCCAGACTTTTGTTCTAATGCCCTGCTTATTAGAGCAAAGGAGAACAGTTTGAAGCGGAGAGAAGCAGTCACGATCGTAGTGTTTCTGACCACGGAACCGTTCTGCTTGTCCCGTCCTCAGTACGACTTTGTTGAGCTCCTGGATGGCAGCAGGTTGATCGCGAGAGAGCGGAACCTTCTGGAATCAGAGCGAGCCGGGCGGCGGGCACGGTCTGTGAGTCTTCACGAGGCCGGCTTCATCCAGTACCTGGATTCTGGCATCTGGCACCTGGCCTTCTACAACGACGGGAAGAACGCGGAGCAGGTGTCCTTTAACACCATCGTCATAGGTAAGGGCCTCGGGCACCCTTCCCAGGCCGCAGCCTAAGCCCCGCGCTGGGTAGAAACGCGGTTGGCCTTGCCAACACGGAGGGGTTCCTGGGCTGCGGAAGCCGGCGGTTAGATGTGAGAAACGTGTTTGAACTGTTCCTTTCTGAGTATGTGACAGACCATTTGGCACCAGGAGGAGGGATTGTTTGGATGCATCTGGAGGAGGCCTGGGCATCAGGTTAACCCCTGAGAACTCTGCCAGTGAGTGGCAGCCCTTGCCTCGCTGTTTAAAAACTCGAGGATCTGCCCAGCTGGTGTGGCCTAGTGGTTGAGCGTCGACCTATAAACCAGGAGGTCACCGTTTGATTCCCAGTCGGGGCACATGCTCAGATTGCAGGCTTGATCCCCCATGGGGGTCGTGCAGGAGGCAGCCAATCAACGATTCTCTCTCATCATTGATGTTTCTCTCTCGCTCCCCCTCCCTTCCTCTCTGAAATCAATAAAAGTGTATTTTTTTGTAGAGTCAATAAATAAAAACTCTGGCTCACGCAGCCTGTTTTGGTTAGGTGCAGCTAAAATTACCGAAGAGCCGCTGCTCACCTTGGGCCAGGGGCAGGCGACCCAACAAGCACGCCTCCTTTCTCTCTCCCTCAGAGTCCGTGGTGGAATGCCCCCGAAATTGCCATGGAAACGGAGAGTGTGTGTCTGGCACTTGCCATTGTTTCCCGGGATTTCTGGGTCCGGATTGTTCGAGAGGTATGCGAGTCCCGTTGTTTTTCCTTAAGCCTGTGTCCGTAAGCCATGGCAACAGGGCTGATCCAGGAAGCCACCGAGCCGGGGAGGAGGGGGGGCCTGGCACCCCTGTCCTGGCGCTGCTGCCTCTCGCTCCAGGCCCGCCGGCCCGGGCACCATTGACATGTCGTGTCCTGTCCCCCAGCAGCCTGCCCCGTGCTGTGCAGCGGCAACGGGCAGTACTCCAAGGGCCGCTGCCTGTGCTTCAGCGGCTGGAAGGGCACCGAGTGCGACGTGCCCACCACGCAGTGCATCGACCCGCAGTGCGGGGGCCGCGGCATCTGCATCATGGGCTCCTGTGCCTGCAACTCGGGGTACAAAGGCGAGAACTGCGAGGAAGGTAAACACGTCCGTGCGTGCAGGCGTCCATGTCACCCTCGTGAAAAGACACAGATTAAACGCGTGGCCTTCACGGTGGCCGACAAATCCTTTCGTTTGCCTCCTTAGGAAAGTCAGTTTGATTTCCATACTCGGGGATGCGCTGTTTTTTTCAGCGTGTGAGCTGACAGAAAGAACAAATACCAGAGGGCCCCTTAGCTCTTTCTCAATCATGTGAATAACTCTTTTTCTTGTAACGCTGAGAAAGCAAGCAAACATTTGTGTCGAGGAACCGAGAGCAGCCTGTTGTATGAGTGGTTGTTTTTTTTACAGATTTTCACATTGATGCCAGCGTTTACATGGGGCATTTGGCATCTCTAGAAAGACATAACTAGTGAACAAAATGACTGTTGAACCGAATAACGAGTGAACGAAAGTACAGCGTCGTGGGTTAGTCCCACACCGTGTGCAATGGCGACAGTCCGATACGCCACGGTGAAGTGCAGTCGAAGTGTTTTTTCAAAAAGCAGAAAAACACCGTTTCTGGTCTTCAGTCAAATTGATTCTATAGATCCGTACACACAGAGTAATACAATTAAGTCCCCGGAATTAAATGTTCAGGCCATTGACCCTACAAGAGTAAAGTTCTGTTGAGTCCAATTGCTAAATTAAAAGTCGTCATCTAAAGCACATTAAAGTGGATGAAGAGAGATAGAGAGTGTGCCACTCATTTGTTTCTCAAACGGTCCGAGGGGCCGTACAGCAGCCAGCACTCGATGGCCGTGGGTCAGGTCAGCCAGCCCAGTGTTGTTACCAAGAAGCCAATGCGTGTGACTCCCTGATTGGGCAGGACAGAGAGCAGTGGTCCGAAGTCCCAGAGTAGGTGTGAGTGATTCATGAAAATTACAGATCCTCGCGAGGCTGCTTCCCTGAGGGGCATGCCTCTCCATGCTTTATGGGATGACGCTTTGCATTTTCAGCAACGAGTTCTGGAAAATGGCAGGTAGATGTTAGAGCAGCCGTGGGCAAACTACGGCCCGCGGGCCGGATCTGGCCCGTTTGAAATGAATAAAACTAAAAAAAAAAAAGACCATACCCTTTTATGTAATGATGTTTACTTTGAATTTATATTAGTTCACACAAACACTCCATCCATGCTTTTGTTCCGGCCCTCTGGTCCAGTTTAAGAACCCACTGTGGCCCTCGAGTCAAAAAGTTTGCCCACCCCTGTGTTAGAGGGTCCCAAATGTTTATATAAATTAGGTTGGGATTTCGTTCTTTATGTTGCACGCCCTATGTCTGATGCCTTCTAGATTGGTCACCAAATTGTCCTCTGCTCTTGACACCAGCTGACTGTCTGGACCCTGGCTGTTCGAACCACGGTGTGTGCATCCATGGCGAGTGCCACTGCAACCCGGGCTGGGGCGGAAGCAACTGTGAGATCCTGAAGACCATGTGTCCGGACCAGTGCTCCGGGCACGGGACGTACCTTCAGGAAAGCGGCTCCTGCACCTGTGACCCTAACTGGACCGGCCCAGACTGCTCAAATGGTGAGGTCCCTAAATGCAGCACAATGGTGGGCTTACGATGGCTTAGCCAAAGCTTAAGATACTGTAGTTTTTTAAAATATACTTTTATTGACTTCGGAGAGAAAGAGAGAGAGAGAGAGAGACATCAATGATGAGAAAGAATGGTTGATTGGCTGCCTCCTGCACACCCCCTACTGGGGATTAAGCCAGCAACCCGGGCATGTGCCCTGACCAGGAATCAAACCATGACCTCCTGGTTCATAGGTCAACGCTCAACCACTGAGCAATACTGGCTGGGCTGAGATATGGTAATTTTTGAAACACACTTATTAAATTTAATGTAGATTTTTATTAAAGTGATTGTTGATAGAAATAAATATTAAACGTAATGAAATTTGTTGTCTTATAAAAAGGAAAGAAACAGGCTTAGTAGTTTGTCATTAAAATTTCTTCTGTAGCAACATCGTAAAGAATAATCTTTCATTTCTGGAAAGCACTCTCAAGGCCTGTGTACAGCGTGGGGATCTAAGCACATGATCTCGTAGTGAAGAATCCGCCCTTAAAAATTATTTGACAGCCCAAGGCTAAACATGGTCACAGTAAAGGGTATACACCTGTAGGTATTATGACGTATAGAATGGTTCAACACTGAGTATTTAATTATAACACAGGCATATCTTGGAGATATTGCGGGTTCAGTTCCAGACCACTGCCATAATGCGAATATCGCAATAAAACAGGTTATAATCTTTGGTGGCGGAAGATCCTGACTTCACTGTGTAAAAAATGCAACATCTGTGAAGCGCAATACAATGAGGTCTGCCTGTAATATGGTAATAACAGAAATGGCAGGCAGTCATTTCATCCAATGGGTCAGGTTCTTGGTGAGCGCCCGCTGTGTGCCTGGCACTGTGCTGGGCCGACAGGGACAAATGGGTAATAAATCAGTCCGGCCCTCTAGCGGGGGGACTTTCAGATGTTTGACCTGAGTGACCTACAGTCGTAGCTTCTTGTTTACTGTGACCTCGTGTACATATTCGTGCATATGCTCACATCACTGAAGGAAAAGCTTTCCAACAGCGTACACACACTGATCCTTTTTTACAAGCGTATTCTGCTTTTTAAACTCTGATGGCAACCCATGACTTAATTTCATGGCCGCTCATGAGTCCCACCGTTTGAAAGGAGGCTGTTCTGGTCCAGAAAATGACCGTGTAAATTGGGGAACTAAGAGGAACACACATGAAACGCATAGAAACGAGTACATTCGAGTTCATTGAGTTTCACGTGGAAAGATGTGCGAAATTCAGTCAACGCCCAGAGGAATGGTGCCTTGATGCCCACTGAGAGTTCTCAGAGAGACTTTTACTAATGTGTCTTCCTTTTTTTAAAGGTTGTCGTGAGTGTAGGGGTGGGGAGGCGTATTTTTTGACTCAGGAAAAATATTACAAAGTACATAAGAGCCCGGCCTCTGAAATCAGGGCCGGGGTTCAGATCCAGGCCCTCCTGCTTGGCTCTGTAACCTCAGGCAGTGACTGTGTCAGTTTACTTATGCGCCTGTAAAATGGACTTCATTATGAGACAGTCTTCAAGCAATGGTGTGGGGGTTCCTGAATTCTGACCGTGAAGAACTTAGGTACAGTGCTGAGCCCATCATGAATTCTACATGTCGCTGCCAGCACTGCTACATTCGCAAAGATCCAACCCTGAGAGTTCTACAGCCGGGGGACAGTGAGGGCAGGGTGTTCGGAGGGGGGAGTTGGGCTGGACCCAGTTATGGGGATGCAGTTTGGAAATCATGGTTTAGGTCACGAGCAATGTCCTCGCAGTGAAGATGTGCACCCACTGATGTGATGAGAACAGTATCTTAGGACCTTGGTGGAAAGATTGTATGTATGTCAGTGTCTGAACAGGGAGGCTGCTGACCGTAGACACGGCAGCGAGCTCCCCACAGGACAAGGTGACGAGAGCATGGATCCACTTGGAGTTAGCAGAAAAGAAAAGGGTGAATCTGAGGGACTTTGTACTAAAGGGAAGAGACAGGACTCTCTAAGAACGCCGAGTGTAGATACTGGTGAGAAGAGCTGAGAGTCTGAAGCAAGGAGATGGGTGTTCGCGTGAATGTCTGTAATGAGGCGAGAAAGTTGGGAAGGGCTGAGGCTCAGGGGTCAGCAGGATGTCACAGCAGCGATGGGGGGATACGTGAGAAACAGGAGGTGATGGATTCTGCTCGGATGCTCAAACTCTCTGAGCAAAAGTCAATAATAGAAAGAAAGAAGAAGAAGATTGAGGAGGAGGGAAAGGAAAGGTGGAGGTGGAGGAGAAACTGGAAGAAGAGAGGAACCTGGGCTGGAAAGTGCATGACTCACAGAGCAAGTAACATCCAGGGGGAAGAAGAGCAACAACTGGGACTGGGGGCTGGATTGGATTGGGCTGGGGGGTCTCTCTAAAGTTTTCCAAAATCATCACCAACCAGCATTACCACACAGGTGCGTGGCATTATTATATTTTATTTTATTTTTTAAAAATATTTTTATTGATTTCAGAGAGGAAGGGAGAGAGAGACAGAAACATCAGTGATGAGAATCATTGATTGGCTGCCTTCTGCACACCCACACTGGGATCAAGCCCACAACCCACGGAATCTAACCACGACCTCCTGGTTCATAGGTGGACACTCAACCACTGAGCCACACCAGCCGGGCTGCGTGGTGTTATCTACACTAATAAAAGAGAAACATGGTAATTGGCGTACGACCGCTACCCTTCCCATTGGCTAATCAGCATATCCTTATGCAAATTAACTGTCAGCCAAGATGGCGGCCGGCAGCCAGGCAGCTGGAAGCGAACATGAGGCTTGCTTGCTCCAGTGACTGCAGACTCAAACGTTCCCCGCCTGACTTGCCGGCCTCTGAGCTACAACTCTAAGAAACTATGTTGCAAATATAGAAGCTAAACAAAACCCCAGAAACCAGCTT